ACATCTGGACATGTCAATCCGGATGAGTTGAAGGAGAAAGAACCAACACTTGAAGAACCAACTGAGGAAACATCAGCTCACAACCGGAGTCCTCAACAACTTGAAGAAGAAATTCCTCGAGTTCAGAATTCTCCAACTTCCTCACAACCTCAAGTAGATGATGCTGAGAATCAATTCTGGCAGCTCTACTATGACTGGAGAGCTTGGAAAGTTGGAAATTCAGCAGAACAGTTGCTGAGTTGGGACCAGCAATTGAAGAATGAGAAGATCATCAAGAAATGTTTACGTCTGCCTGTCAACTATTGCTGTGAGCAAATCCTGGATGTTGACTGGGTATGGCAAAGAAATTATGAAGATTTGCATTTGGAACACTTGGTCACCTCACCAATTTCAGAGTTTGAGGTGGATGATGAGGATCCTGCAGTATACAAACCAGTCCTCTCAAAAACCACAGAAGATCAGGTGGTTCTCACTTCTGAAGCACAAGCTAACTTGGAAACAACAACTGAGGATTTCCAAATATTTCCAGAAGCCTCATCTGCCTTTGAAGTTGTTCCACCTGAAGCTGAAGTCTCTACACCAAAACAGAACCAGGAAGGATCAAATGAAGAATTCCAGCAACTTCTCCATTCTGAAGCTTTAGAGATTCTCACAAACCCCTGTGAAATCACCAACCCCACTGAAGCAAAGATCCCGGAGGAGTCAACAGAAAATCTAGAGATGTCCAAAATCCCAGAAACAAACGAATCTCAAGAAGAGCAAGCTGTAGAAACCCAGAGAAGTTCTGCAAAAGCTGAGAAGGAAACTCAAATGGCAGAACTGGAGGCCTCCAAATCTCCAGTAGCCATTTTTGAAGGACAGAACGAAGCAGAAGAAAGAGACTCCCTCTCTCGGGATATATCAAATTTTACACTTAGGGAAGCAGAAGAAGAATCTGAAAGGACCCTGAAGATCAATGATGAAGAAGATGTACAAGATGATGCTGAATCTCTTCCTCTACAACTCTTCCAAAGAACTCTCTCTTCTCATCAAGTAACCAACTTCCATTTACATAGTTCTTCCATTCCTACTTTTCCGGATGAGGTACCGGAAATCTGGACAAAGAAGGTCCAAGGGCTGATTGACTCAGCCCTAGCAACTCAATATGCCTCCTTTAGGCAAGAGATAGAGCAGATGGAGGCCAGGCAAAACAAACTGATTGATAAATCTGAAGAAACACATTGCTCCAATCTCAAGGAGATAAGCAAATCTGTGGATAAGACTCTAGAGATCTTATCTCTATTGAGTAACACTGTGAGCAACACGATGGAGACATATGCATCGGATAGTTATCTCCAACTCAAGGAGGCTAACAACATCAAAGAGCAAGTAGCAAATGTCACAATCAGTCTACAAAAACAAATGTCCATTCTCCAAATGGACATCAGAGCAGCTTTGGCAGTGTCTTCAGCAAATCAAGTAGTAACCAAAGACTACTTGAAAGTAATCATTGACAATCAGAAGGAAGCACACAAATTATTCAGACTTCTTACCACAAATTCTGGAAATCGCAAGATGGAAGTGGTTCTTCAACAACATAGTCCATCCTTGATTCCAGAGCTTCCCATTGCAGTCAAAGAAGGAGAAGTCTCTTACATTCCTACGCATCTAAACTTGACTGATCTAGTCCTTGAAGCTCAGAGAAGCAATCCGGAAAACTCAACACAACGCTTATCCAGCTCCGGATTGGACGGAACAGAGGCTGTAGGAACAATTGCTGCTCACTTCTCAAATGAAATTCAAACAGAGGAGAGACGAAACAACATAAGGCGCATCAAGGAACTATGTGGAAGCATGCAAGGCATCAGGGAGATTGCCGAATCTTCAAGGCGCAAGAAGCACTGAAGGTTTTCTTCATCAAATCAGGGGGAAAGTATGTGAAAACATTAATTTGCTTTGATGAAAACACCTTCTTGTTTAAACATTGCTCTATTGGTTTAAACATTGCCTTAATATTTCTCTTAATTGTGCTCACTATGCTTGATTATACCTAATTCAAGTATGTTTTTGAGTTTTATTCTTAGCGCATACATTGAGGGGGAATGTATTTCAAGGGGAACTTAACCAGTTTTTGGCTAACAATTGTTTTTGGCAATGAATTATTGATAAGCTCTAAGCAATGGAAGACGGATATCTCAGTTTTGGTACTAAAATTGGAAATCTCCGATTCGGGTACTTTACAAAATCTGCCTTCTTAAACTAAGCTTCAGTCCTTAATTCATTTCCAACAAGCTCTAAAAGTACTGGTCCCTAGGATTTTTAAAATGTACAGGAGTTTGGAAAAATAGTACCACTTTTCTTTTAAAAATAAAAATTTATATTTGTTTTGGTACTACCTCGTCCTAAGTAGAAATTAGAACTATAGGGAATGAAAAATGATAGTTTTATTTTGGGCCTTGAGAACCCAATAGGAATAATTTCCATTTAGTACGTAGCTTTCTTCTCTTTTTGGGTCACTCTTTTGGGCTTAGCCAAACTAAAACAATTATGATTCTCAAACCAAACGAAACTGATTTTCAAATTGGAACGGTTTCAACTAATTGGTAATTGGTAAAAGATTCCTTCCACTTTTCAACTTCTTGGAAGTTGAAACTCTTTTACTCTCACCGTTCCACCTACCAAATTAATGGAACCCGTGAACCTCCCCTCTCTCTACCTCTCTCTACCTCTCTCTTATTTAAATCAAGATATCTCAATCCATTCCTATCACAAACAGCTCTTTCAATATGAAAAGTCTTCAAGCTCACTGTCTAAGAAACACACCAAGAAAAATATCCTCAATGGAGAAATTTTTCTTTCTCACCCTCATAGACGGCAATGGAAGAAGACTATTGAGAAGAAAAGACTTTCAAGGTCTATGGTGAGAATCTCGGCAGTAGAGAAGGTCTATGGTGGAAATCTCGTATTTCTCAGTATTACACCATACACCTTCTCTCGAACAACACTCTCTCTATCTTTCTTCTTATTTTGAGAGATGTGTTGCTTCCAAGATCTTAAATATCCACTTTGGATATTAAAGATCTATCAAACGCAACGCCAACCGCTCTGCCAAGCAGAATCTACTGAAGCTGAAAACGGTCAATGGCGGAAGAGATCACAAAATCTCAAGACAAGACTTGGTTTAGGAATTATTGTAATTTGAATTGTATTTGTTTAAGAGTTTTTGTTAACAAGCTGTATATTTTGAGAAACTAAAACAAAGTTACAAAATTAGTTCTCAGTACAGCGACCGGAACTCTTAAACACTTGTTTGCCATCATCAAAAAGGGGGAAATTGTTGGGAAAAATATCATAGATTTTGATGATGATGTATTTAGAATGTAATAGGGACTCGAGGTTTCCCCAGATATTCAATGTAATTTTTCCTTTTAGAAATATTGTTAAAACCAAGTTCTTGAGATTTCCAATAAAGTGTAGATATTTCTTTAAACGGTTTGATGCTTGAACACTTAATCAAATTCAGAAATTTGGAAATTGGATATCTTGATCGGAAATGTCAGAGACAAGTAAAGATCCTCCTATCCGGAATACTACATGGGAACCGGATGTCTCATTACAACGCGCTGAAGGCTAAGTCGGAAGACTAGCGCGGATTTCCTTCTCACCAGGAAAACTAAGTATGACTCTTCCGGATTTGTCAGCTAAGAACCGGATGCCTCAGGGAAGACCGGAATTCTCAAAAAGCGGACAAGTGAGAAAAGACTTAGAAAATTATCTAAGTCTTGAATGAAGAAATTCTACCCGTTGGTAAGGAAAAGTCAATCTCTTGATTTTCAACGGCTAGATTGAAGATAATTATGCTGATTCAAGAACAAATGACTCGAAGACAAAGTCTGGACCTCTAAGAATTGAAGAACCTATCCAGAATTCCTAAACAAGCACTAGAAGACAAACAGAGTAAAGTTCTACAGTCCAGAATACTTGAACAACAGCTAGAAGACGGACTCTATGGAAAAAGGAATCTCTCCTTTAACAATTGGGTATGTCCAAACACCCATTCCAATGAGGAATCTTCAAATCACAATCTTCATTCAAAATTGAAGCCAGCAAATGCAACGGATAGTCTATTTT